ACTGTCTTTAATTACGACAGCTTCGATAATCTCAAATGTCAATACTTTTCGCTTCTTGCCTTTCAAAAGACTCGTAATATATTTCTATTTCTGGCGTTTATCTGCATGCAACATTCGAACATAATAGATCTAGGATAATGGGTTTTTCTATAATAATTTAATTATTTAAACTTTAAGTCTTAAAGCCATAAGAAATTGACCAATCATAGTCAATTATTCTTCTCATATTTTATTGTGATTGGTCAATTTCTTATGGTTTAAGACTTAGAGCTTAGCCTTAATAGGCTTATTGTAGAAAGTCCATAACATTTTAATAATATTATAATAGTATTAATATTAATAAAAAGTTATAAAATATTAACAAGAAAAAATATTTAACAATACAACTCTGTTTGAAGATATTATAAATTTAATCATCTTGATAACAATTTCTTCGTTTCACATCACTTTAAATATTTTTATGAAAGAATATATCAAAAAATAAAGCGGGAACAATGTTTCGAGTATAAATTAAATCTTAACAGATTATATTTAATGTAATTTAAAATAATAATTAAATCATACGTAATGAAAAATAAAAATATAAAAAAAAATAAATTCTCAATGAATGAATACCCCTATATAATTATGTATGACATAGAAATTATGCGGAACAAATATAAAAGAGAGGGCATATAACATAAATAGTCGTAATAATAATAGTTTATAATGAGTGCAGAGAATAATAACATGCTAGAACTACGTACATACTTGCATACACAATTTGCATGAAGATCAAATATCAGATAGATTTGAAATTGTCAACAGTCAATGTAATCCCAAAATAGAGTAACGCGATCGATGAACGTCGCTAATTATGCCAATAATGACAAAACAACATTATTTTCCTTTGGCATATCTTGACAACACGTACGTGTTATACATTAGCTGAACATGAGCAACTTATCGATCGCTCATCGCATATTCAACTGGGTCAGATCGTGCCGTATTTATTGCCAATGTGCACGCATTACGCGAAGTGCACGCTAAGTTAACAAAGGCGACTTATGATGCGATTCGATTTGTCACCGATAATTTCGCTCTTATTTCTACGAATAGAAATAATTAGGTGGCCTATTCACGCAAATCACTTGGGAATATTGTTAATGATTTTGAGGCAGACTGAGTAATTAATCGAAATTAACTACGGTATGTGTAATGTTTTTCAACTAATTTTTACAAGTTGTTGAAAAAAGTACAATATTAAACTCTATTTTAGTTCAATCTATTTTAGCTCTCCATTAAATTGAAGGCAATTTTTAAGAAAAGTTATTTGTTAAGCATATGAAATAATCAAAATTAGGTGATATTGATAAATAATTAAAATTCTGGAAAGGTATATTTTAGAAAAAATGAGATTTGAATTTCGAATCACTGTTTTATCGATATAAGACTTATCACATTTGATTTACGTGTTATCGATAATCGACACATCACTATAATTATATACATCGTATCATATACATTAATACATCAATATTGCATGCGCACATAAATTTTCATAAAGATTTATCGTATCAAATTAGATGTCTAAATCTAATTCTAAGGAGTGATAAAAAAAAATCAATTTCAAAAATTTTTCTGAACATAAATTCCACGCTAATTCTGGAAAAAATGTCCAAATCTATAATATATGCAATAATCCTTTACGAAAATTATTCCGTTTAATCAATAAAACAGACGACTTTACGATCCCTTTAATCATTTAAATTTAGTTTGCGAAAAAAAACTCTTTATTTCTATTTTGTGAATTGTGGGGTAAAACGGGGTAATTTGAACAAATTAATAGAAATTATTTAATGTATAAATAATTGAATAGTGTATTCAATCAAACATACAAAACATACATTATCAGTAGTACATGTTTTGTATATTTAATTGAATAGATTATACATATGCGATCCCAATTTTATATAATTTGAAAATTTCTGTCAATCTACTTCATTTTACTAAATAACTGTAAAACCTAACTACAAAAAATATCAATATTTTACTCAAAGTAGAATTCAAATTCGTCATCAAAATGAGATCAGAATTTTGCGAAATAATCTCTTATATTTTCCTTACACTTCAAAAGTGACACAAATTAAAAAATCTGTTTTCGAATTATATCGAATGATCAAGTTACGTTAAACATTACCTTATCAATCATCAAATGTGAACTAGCTTAACTTCATAAAAAATCTACACAATTAAAAAAAGGATGATTTTTTAAAAATTGTTAAGAAACATTACCCAATTACTCAATCAAAAGTGAATAATTTAATTTTAATTAAATAATCGTCAAAAACGTCACAATTCAAAAAAGTTGTAGAACAAAAATAATAATTTAATTGTTAAAAATATGTTTTTTTGCTGATATTATTTGATTAATCAACTTTCTATCAATTAAAAAAATAATTTTCCTCTTTTCTAAGAGAACTTAATTTTCTAACTTATGTCACTTTTGAAGTAAAGGAACAATTTATAAAAATGTTTATGGTATATTAAGTACATAAATCTACAAATTCCATTGAAATAAGATCAAGACGGAAAAGAAATTTACGTATAAATGACTAGCGATTCCGGGTGAAACATTTTGACCTTGAATATGTAATGTGACATTGATGATATCACGCACTCACCAGATTAATAGTAACGATGAGATCATATTGTTGTCGTTGTCCCTTCTTCTTGTTTTTGCCGGTCTTCACGGAGGCCGCCTTGGGTGTTACTTTCACTTGACCTTTCTGGGCTGACGGCTTCTGGGCCGGTTTCGCTGCGCCCTTAGCACCCGGCGCAACCTTCTGACCAGCTGCTGGCGCTTTCTGACCGGAAGCACCTTTTTGGTTTACATGACCCACGCCATCCGCCGGTTTGTTGCGTGCCTGTAGTTCAAGAGACAAAACCTCTGTTAGGCGTTAAGTAGAATGAATTTTATTAAAGATAATCGAGTGGGACAAATGTAGGACCGAGTATATATGTATGTATAATACATATACGCCAAATTATTGTCGGAGTAAAGCACGATGTCGAAGTTTCCTTTTCTTCAATGTTTAATTTTTCCATTTTTCATGTTTATATTATAAATTTTGCAAGCAAATTAATGAATTGGCAACTGTGAAATTTTCGGTTAAGTTCTTTCCTTTAGAATTTTGAAAATTATAATATACATTGTATATTTATGTAGTTACATGCAACTTATACATATTTTTAAATATTCCTCCCTAAATCACAATTAAATTATCGGGATAATATGAATATTATATATCCCCGATATATGAATTTAATGTTATAGTTAATATTATTATGATTAATGTCATTTCAGTTTACCTATAATTATCGCATTAACTCACTGTGTCGAAATCGATTCAATATATTTACGAGAATTATTTACACGTTAGTCCATTTATACGTTGTGGGTAAAAATCTTTATGTTGTCCGAAAAATGAGAATAAATTCTGCGAATATACTCGTATGTATAAAATAGCAAATCTATAAAACAGGAAGTACGTTGACTTTTTTGTCAACAACTCGAGATGAAAGACGTTTAAATCAGGATCGAATTGTTACAACTCTTTAGACGACCTAAAAATAGTCTTTTTAATTAATAATTATCTGAATGAAGAGACTGGATGCTTCGCGTGGGCGAGAATGCCAACGAGATAATTATAGATCTCACTGTCTAATGTGATCTTGACAGAGTCTACATACAGACAGAGTTTCCTATGTACACAATTTATAAAAATACAATAATTCAAGATTTTTCAAGCGTACAACAATGCTGCGGAATTTCTATTTTCGTGAGACAGTCCTCAGTACTTACAGTCATTTGTCGATTATCCGCAGACAGCTTCTAATTTCAAATATTTTCAATATATCAGAGAACATAAATTCATGCTTTAAAAATCTTTTGTACTAAATATTAGTTTTACAATTTTTAATCGAATATCACAAGTATATTGAAATATTGAAATAAATACTTAATTTATTATCAAAGTGAAAATGTCTATTCTAAAAAAAAAAGCATCTGAATCGTAAATTAATTCTAAATTTACGTGACTATTCTAAATGTCTATAACATAATGTAAATATAAAATGTAATGTAAGTAACTACATAATATCACAATGAATCGAATTATGTATACACGACTAATAATAGCATTCCTTATGAATAAAACAGTGATCTAATGCACTAATGTAGCGATTATGAAGCAACGTATATTCCTGAGAAAGCAGAACATCTTTAAAAATAAACTAAAATAAATTAACGTGCGAAATGTTACATCCCAATGTAAGGTAATTTGTGCGAAGTTCTCCGTAATTTTATTAAGATCATCTTAATTGACCTTCAGAGCGAGATTCTACATCTTGTTAATAAGCGAAGTCCCGAGCCAAGATAAGATTTATATTTAACTTTCTTTATACTTGAGTTTATTTTAACTTTCCAATCTCCTCAGAGTCATATTTTTCTCGAAATACTTCCAAAATATTTTTCAAATACTTAGCACTCGTATTAATAAATTTTATCTTATATTTTTAATTACTCGTTAAAAAAGGGGAGTTCATCTATATATCTTATCAATGTATTACAATACTATATTACAAAGTATTACAGCAATTACTGTATGCTATATTCTTCAGTAATCAAACATCTCAACACGTGTTGACACAGAACACAGAATATCGCTACAGAGCTCTCCTTCATCCTCTCACTCCGGTAACAACCAGGTAATAACCAGAGTCGCGGTTGTCGCGAGATATTCGTACGAAAACATGGAAAACAGTCGGCACATCGATCGGACCGAGCATACGTTGAGTGTGATCGTTCGTTGCGCATGCGACGCCACGAACGGATCGATCGCGCGGTTGTATATCAAAAGTGTATTAAAACAAATGTATTGTTTCATATGACAGCCACATGTTTATCCCCGTACGCAGTCTTATTAAGAGATCCACAAGTATCGAGGGATACAGTTAACGTAAATCGCGCTAAGCGATTGCGGGACTCGCGTGTACGACCGCTACGAGACGGCCCGTGCAGAGCTGCTTGTGTTCGCTTACGTAGTAATTTTCATTGTAACGCTTTTCTTGTCTTTCCGCCCATCTTTATCAAGGCGCAAGCGCATTTCGGAAAATTAAATTGCAACTCGGTCAGGTTTGGAAGTATCAATACACGACCTTGCGCGACTCCGGTATGTCTTATGAGTTTCCATTCTGGCGAAACGAATGCGTTTGTTGGATCTAGGATTTCTTGTGAAAATTAAGATATGTTGGGAATGTTTCACTTTAATCATTATTCATTAGTCAGTGGCTTCTAAAATTTTCAAATATGGACATTTTTATAACTGTCAGTATAAGCAGATAAATTAGTGACAATTGCAGTATCTCGAGAAATTTTGTGATAAATTTTGTCTCTACCAAGACATACCTATATAGCTTTTTGACAACGTCCATGTCACGTTGAAGCTTCCAATTCCGATAATATACATATATATATATGTACAATATATATATATAAAAGAAGATAATATATAATATAGATATCAATGGAAGTTACATCATTGTATGTTTTAATTGTATATACGGAAAAAAAGATTTATTAATACAGCTAAGGTAAATTTCTACGAAAATCAATCTAATATATACATCAAAATTTGTAACAAAGCATGCTAGCTAAAGGGTGCGTATTTTTGTTACTGTAATCAAGAAAAACTTGATTACATTAGCAATTTTCATTTTTCATCAAAGAATTAGATAAATTAGCATACTGATAATTGCTTATAGATATAACTTCTTTGTTAAACTATCAAATCTTTTTAGTTATAAACTTGCACCAGCAAGCTATAGCTTTGCTGAACCATCCAATCTATTCCGTACATGTATTTCTCACATTCTTTAAATGTTTCTTAAAATATGCCATCGTCGTATCGCTCAGATTATGTGATTAATCCGGAAATTGTTATCCGCATTTTAAAAAATAACGGTGTTTATATAATTCTCACTATTATATTAATATTAACATCAACGGTAAGAATTATATAGACACCGCATTGATATTAAATTTATATCAATTTTTTAGAGTGTGAGATATTTTTACATCCCAGGGATGAAAACATGTAAATTATTGTAAAATATCGAATAGATATTGTGAATTTAACATATTTTTTCTTTTTTAAATATTCTTCACGAATTTAAATGTACGATTTTATTGAAAATTCACAATAAAACGGTGTTACATTAATATAATTAAAATCTTCATTTTTTTTTAAGAAATATTGTTATATAATAATAAGCTACTTAAACGTGCTTATTCTGTTTAATATTTATCTGGTTACTACTTATTTTTTTCAAAAAATTGTGATTAAATCCATATCCATAATGTTCTCAAATATTAATAAATCGTAAAACAATCAATAATATGTTGTTAATTTATGATAGATGATTTTAATTGGGGTGTAAATGTAAAAACACATTAGGTGATCATTTACATAAAAAAATAATCATGTGACTATACTCCCAAGTATCTATTATTATTTCAGCATTATTTGTAATTATATCGCCTCGACTCTCTATCGCGTTTGCGTTAGATATATAATTCATATACAGTATCAACGTTAACAATTTCAAAAGCAGAGCTAAGAGCAGACAAGTGTTTTAAATATTTATTAATTTGAATCTTCTTTCGTTACGAAAGAAATTGCACCCTTCGTAATTCCCGTACAATCACACAATGTCCTCGGCCTATATAGTACAATTCTTTTCTTAATCGAAAACGCCAAGAAGTCCAATATACTTGTTACGACTTGCGTCAAGTGGCAGTCGACTCACTGGGGGTTTAAGACCACTCAGTGTCTTTTTCGTATCCGTTGCCGTGTTGTTTGCAAAGTTCGTTTTTCGCTATTGCAGAGGCGAGCTAGCCGTAGATAGTCTCGCTCCCGGGGAGGGAAATTAATAACGATCGCTAATGGTGCTTACGAAAGTTTGCTGGTGGTGCGGGGTGTAGAGGCGGATGACTTACTTTCATCCGGTCGATTAGATCGGATGGCGCGTGCATCGTGTCCATTTATCGTTCGTACGCCAGCGCACAGTGTGTCATAGTAACACAGTTACGTATGTACGTTGAGTAGCGACCGCGGAAATGTGGATTTAGGTCGCTAACTGCGGGTGTTTTACATTACGGAATAGTGCGACTAAAGGGTTGATTAGCCTTTAGGGACTATCGATTTTATGAGTCCCAAATGGAATTTTGATAGTCGTTACTTATCGTCGTTACTTATCGTCAATTTACGTAGATATGTATAGTATATGTACATCGTCCCGCGATGTTTGTTAACCGAAAACAGAAAACTACATGAAATGCCAGAGACATAGTGTTGAATAAATTGAGAGAGAGAGAGAGAGTGAGTAAACTTCGCACAATAATGAAAATTTGATAGTCATTATTTAATCGTCAATTTACATATATACGTACGTAATCCCGTGACGTATATAGATCGGAAACAGAAAGCGATATTAAATACTAGAAACGTAGCGTTGAATAAGTCGAGAGAATAAACCACGTAGAATAATATATTAAAATATGCTAAATGCATTGCATAAAAAATAAAAAAGAATAATTAATAACGCTGGAAGCTTAATAGTAAAAAAGTTATTAAAGTAATAAACTTCATTTGCATATTACAGAGAAAATATGAAAGAGTATAAAGCGTAAGACTATTATTTCTAATCTCTTGGTCACGTTTTGCATGTTCAATTTGCATATATTGATAAATTTCTGTTGACGTCAAATTATCAATTTTATAATTAATTTGCCTTTAAACTTTTACACTTTGACGCATTTTAGGTCAAAGCGATCATTTACTCGAGGTAGGTATTATTATTAATG